GATAGATAGTTTTGCTGGGTGAAGTATTCTGTGGTGGCAATATGGTCATTTAGAACCAGGAATATTTTGGTTCAGGCTCTTTTGGTTTTTATAGTTTGCACTGAAAAGTCAACTGTAATTCTGATGGGTTTTCCATCATATGTAACTTGTCTTTCTCTAGCTACTTTCAGTACCCTCTCTGTGTTCTGTACATTTAATGTTTTTACTATGATATGCCATGGGGAATTTCTGTTCTGGTCATGTCTAATTGGTGTTCTGTGTGCTTCTTCTATCTGTAGGTATGTCTTTCCTTAATTTGGAGATGTTTTCTTCTATAATTCTCTTGAAGATCTGGTTAATGCCATTGACCTAAGATTCTTTTCCTTCCTCTATGCCTATAGTGCATGGATGTAGGCTTTTCATGGTGTCCCACATTTTCTGTATGTTCCATTCCTATGTTTTGTTTTGTTTTTTAACCTTTCATATTCTTTGAGTGCAACTTTGTCATCCAGTCTTTATACTGTTTTCCATTTCATTCATTCTGCTTGTGAGGCTTTCTCCTGTCATTTTGAATTGACTTATTGGATTTTTCAATTTCATCTTCATTTCAGTTTGTGAGCAAAAATAGCATTCTGTGCTTTATCCTTAGCAAGACTGGATCTATGACTTGGAGGTTATAACTAAGATGCTGTCCCTTTCAAGAACTGATTCTTGCTGTTGCTGTGCCTGATTGGTCATCTCATATCTGATAATCTCTTCTCCCAGAGTGAGCTTCATTTGTTGTATGACTTGCTAGCAGAAACCAGTTTTGAGGCTATAACTTGTAGGCAAACTTACGAATGACAACAGACAGCAACAGAGGGCAAATGCCATCTGCTCACTGATAGTCTCTGAAGATGTTGTCATATCATTGAAGACAGCAATAGGGAGACTCCAGTTGACTACCAGGTTCCAGAGCACACACTCATGTCAGTCAGTGTGTTGATCTGTAATACTGCTGCCAAATGAGTCAGTCTTAAAACTAGCTTGTGTAAACCCTCAAATATTGTCGTCATATTTTTAAAAAATATTTATTATTTTTGTTTTATGTGTATACATGTATTGTCTGCATGTAGGTAAGTGCCCCTGTGTCATGCAATGTCCGCAGAGGTCGGATCCCCTGGAACTGGAGTTACAGACAGTTGTTAGCTGCTATGTGGGTGCTGGGATTCAAACCTGGTCTTCTACAAGAACAGCCAGTGTTCTTAACTGCTGAGCCATCTTCCAGCCTCCAAACTTGTCATTTTTTACAGTTGTTTTGACATAAATTTAAACCTGCATTTCCACGTGACTTTTAGTCCAGTTGTGAACTTACACAGAAAACTTATAATTTTAGTAAGCATTCCAGACATTGTAGAACCAGGAGATAGAGTTGGCATCTCAACATCATGAAATCTTCTAGTCCATAGGAACATTACATTGCTCTGTTTACTTGAGTAGTCTTTGACTTCTCTTAGCATGTTTAGTAGTTTTCTGTATTCAGTATAGGTCTTGTACATACATTGGACTTACTCTTAAGTATTTCATACTTTTTCATGATGTTGTAAATGGTCTTTTATTTTATTTCCATACTGAGGATTGAACACAGAGCATTGTACATGCTAGACAAGAGTTCTGCCACTGAGCTGTATTTACCAACCCTTAAATGGTTCTTAATCTGGTAGTTTCAGCTTTTCTACTAAGATAGACTGATTCCCCTGCGCCTGACCAGTTCTATTCTCTCTCCCCATACTGGCCCCCTTCCAGCCTTGGGCCTAGGTCCGCTCCTGCTCTTCTTACCTCAAACATCTGGCCTAGCCTCCTAACTCAGACCCCACCCACTGTGTCCTGATCCTCTACACTTAGACTAGCTGTATTCTCTAGCTTCAGGGCCCACACCTATTCTGCCTAGCTAGTTAGACCCTTCTCACGCTTTTCCCCACCCCAGCCTTAGCCCTACACCCCCCCCACCATCTTCCTGCCTGAAACCTCCTCACCAGCCTACCAGAACCCAGCAACTGGACCCCCATACCCCTGAATTCCCTTCAGTCCACCAGAGAGCACTTCACTAATCAGCTTGGAACCATCCTGTCCCACCAATAAAAACAACAAAGCAAGATCCTAAAGAACACACCAACTACCTATTAATACCTGAGCAGAAAGCAACCAAGCTACATCAACAATATAAAGAGAACCAAACTTCAACTAAACAAAGGTGGATTGGGATTTCAAATCAGACAAACAACCAACAAGAGAAATACATATGCCCAAAGACAGTGCAAAAACACAAATAGGAAAACCCGAGAGAATATGTCACCAACAAAACCCACCAGTCCTGTAGAAGTGTGCTACAACGAGAACCATCCAGAGGAACTCAGGATGCAGAATTTAAAAGAACAGTCATAAACATGAGCAAAGAACTTAGAGAACACACAGATAGATAACTCAAAGAACTCTAACAGGAGTTCTCACAACATTAATGGCTCTTAATCTTGTTTTATAGAAACAAGTCCCTAAACCAGTCCTTTGCTGACTTACAAATACTAAATATTTTCTCTACATAAACAGTATCTAAAAGTATGTAATGAATTTAGTAATTTCCAGTGATGGTCTTATCTGCACTAATAGCTGTTATTTATTTGAATTTGCTTTAAAAAATGGAGAACAAAATTTTGTAACTATTTGCACTTAAAGAATCAGAATTCTTAGCCGGGCGTGGTGGCACATGACTGTAGTCCCAGCACTTGGGAGGCAGAGGCAGGCGGATCTCTGTGAGTTCAAGGCCAGCCTGGTCTACATAGTGAGTTCCAGGACAGCTGGAGCCACAGGGAGACCCTGCTTCAAAAAGACCAAAAGAAAAAAAAAATAAGAATTCTTCACTTTTTTATAAGCTATTAACATACAACTTAGAATCTGATTTTCAGTATTAAAAAAGTATGTGCATATTTCATGCAGTATTTACATTAAGATGTTGTAATTTAATGCCAAGAAATTATTTAAATATTTACTTTGTGAAAGAAAGAGGCAAACAGAACCTCATCAAATCTTAATAACTTTTGGTTTTCCAAAGACACTGTTATAAATGAAAAATTAAACCACAGGTTGAGGGAAAATATCTGCAAAATATGTGTTCTAGTTTGCTTTCTATTGCTGTGATAAAACACTGACCAAAACCAACTTGGGAAGGAAAGGGCTTATTTCAGCTTACAACTCCCAGTCACAATCCATCACTGAGGAAAGCCAGGACAGGAACTCAAGGCAGGAACCTGACAGCAGGAACTGAAGCAGAGGCCAAGGAGGGATGCTGCTTACTGGCTATGTTTCCCTCAGGTTGCTCAGCTACTTTCCATAAACAGTCCAGGTCCACTTGCCTAGGGATGACACTGCCCACAGTGAGTTGAACCCTTCTGTATCAATTACCAATTAAGAGAATGCCTCACAGATATGGCTACAGGATAATCTGATGGAGGAAATTCCTAGTTACCTCTTCATGGGTATCTCTAGTTTGTGTAAAACTAACCGGCACAATATATTCAAAAAGATATGTTTGTACAGTGTGTTAACATGCCTTCCAGTTCATGATGAAGAAGACAAATAGCCTGACAGCAACAAAAAAGGCAAGAAAGTGAGTAAACATTTCAGTCCAGAGAGTGCACAGGGTCACAAGACACATAGAGGGACGCTGCTATAAAAGGGAGCTCTACAGCACATCAGCGCCCTGAATCCACCACAGCACACTAAGATTTGTCACCCCCACTAATGGGGGACATACCCCTAAACTACAGTGCATACATAAATAACTGTGGTAAAGATTACTTTATAAATTAAACACAGTGAGGGATGATGAACAACAGCCAATGAGCAGAATGACTCTAAACAATAACTACAATGAAAGTTGTGGGAACGTGATTTCTCTTTTGCATGTGCTCTTAAAATACCTTAATGTTCTATACTATATACAGCCACCTTGTGATGATGTGGCCTGCATTTTAGACCAACATTGAGCAGAGGTAGCTGAAACTGCAGAAGTAAACCAGATTTAAGGGGGGCTGGTATACTTCCCACCAACTAATGACAGAGAGTGCAACTCCCATACACTGCTGAGGCAATGTCAAATGACACCACCACCTTGGAAAACATTTACTGGTGTATTAAGTATACACCTGCCATACACTGCTCCTCTGCTATTTACCTAGCAGACATGAAGGCCTCTGGCCACACAAAGACATAAAAGTAAATACTCAGAGAAGATTTATTTATTATAGTATAAACAGGAAAGAATCGGTCTTTTATCAATCTTTTATTGACAAGAGAATGGATAAGCCAACTGTGGAACATCTAACCCATGGAATATTCCTCAGTACAAGGACAAGCTATACACATTGGACTTAAAAACCATTACATATTCAATTAAACAAGGGTCCAGAGGGGAAGAGAGAAACGGGTAGTGGGCAGCACTAGACTGAGAACTACTGGAGACTGATTGCTACTGGGTGAGGGAGAGTGTGCCTTACATACGATCTCTAGATGGACTGACTAGACTCCAGTGGATGAATTTACACTGAAGGCCATCTGGGTAGAAATGCTCGACTGGATAGCACTTAATTAACAAGTATGGCAGAATACATGAGGCCGGTGGGGGATAGGGGAGGCAGGCCTGGGGGAAGGGGGCCTAAATTTGATTAAGAACTGTTGAAGGAAATTACAAAAGCTCAATAAAAAATATTAAATTTAAAAATTACATACTGTATAATTTTCTTTCTATAAAATTCTAGAAAATGTGAACAGTAATTCACAGTGGTATGGCAGAAGGTAGATCTGTGTCTGTACAGGGAAGGGTGTAGGAAACATGAGTCACTGGGAGAACCAAGGAACATCTTTATTTTGATTGGAGTAATGGGTGTGTGTGTGTGAACTCATTCAATTGTACACTTTAAACATGCATAATTCAATATATATCAATTATATTTCAAAATGTAGGCTACAAAATACAAATAAAATACCTCAATTTCAAGGTCCTGGCGCTTGGGGTTGTGAATGAAGAAAGTGAAACTTTCCTCCCACACAGGTTCACTGGTTTTGTATCGAATCTGGAAGAAACAGCCCAAATAAGTCCTGTGGTATATTCTATGGAAAAGGATTACTGAGTCTGTGCCTACTCATTTAATGTATATACAAGCACAGGGTGATTAATTAAATTCAAAGACATAACTACTGAATATCTATTATTATCTTAAAATGTTCAAAAGATGGAAGATGGTCCAATGCTTTATGGCTACGTCAGGGAAAGCAGCTGACACAGAGCCCACGCCTACTTGCCCAGAGACCAAAACCATGTCTGCTTAGTCGTCTTCAGTTCTCTCCTCTTGGTGCGTGGCATGGTACTGCACATAGGCCTGCTTCTTAAAGGGTTAACAATGGAAATTGAACAACGGTGTGAAATTTTGAGTAATCCCTGAGTATTCTTTCCTCTGGTCAGAAAAGTACAACATATTACAATAGCAATCTCTTTTTTGAATTCTTGAACCTGTGGTTTGCTGAATTTTAAGTTAACTTTAAATAATTACTAAGTGCTTAGAAGAAATCTGGGAATTCATTCTACGCATTTCTCTATGACAGCAAGAAAAAGTACATGTATAGGGTATTTTTCAAGGTTATTTAAAAATAAGCAATGTATTTGTTATTAAGCAGCTGGTCATTTATGAAATGACTGTTTAAGGCAAAACTTTCTATGGAAAACAATGGTCTTGATGCCTACACAAGATACCTGGACACCATCTGCTGGCGACAGTGACAAATGTAGCTATGTGAAAACAGTCTCAGAAAGCAGTCAGATCTTAGTGCCTTACCTTACTCTCCTGAGCCTTGTGCCCGACTGACATTTGGACAAGAGGATTTGGGTTGCTGTTTACTTTCTTCCCTGACTATCCAAAAACAAAAGCAGACAAAATAAATAGACACATTTTGAAATGGGCTCCACTAAAGCGTCACCTCTATTTACTTCTGATTCTTCACACACAGGGAATCTGGGAACAATTAAAGTAAGAAAATGACAGCTGAGCACACCCCAAGCCACCATTATTTATTATTTCTACCATGAAACAAACGGAGAAAACTTCCATTCATACACTCTTTGTTTGTTTATTCACTTGAGACAGGGTGTGGCTATGCTGCCCTGCCTACTCTGGAACTCTTTGGCATGAGTGATTTTCCCACCTAAGTCTTACAAGTAGCTGTGACTAAAGGCACACTGCATTGTCAGGCTGCACACAATTTTGAAATTAAAAAAAAAAATTAAGCTACTTTGGGAAAGTTCAATCTTTTAAAATTTAAAACTTTAATGTTAACTATAGTTCCCCAAACTTATTTTATTTACTAGGATGGTGAAAAGACAGTAAGTGCAATGAATGGAAATAAAAAAATATGAAAGAAGGTAAAAGGAAATAATGGAAACCCAGAGCTTCAGCTACAGTACAGAATTACAAAGTTTCAGATACACAGTTCTGCACTTTTTTGTTGTAGCTGGTTTTGAGACTGGATACCCTTGTATTCCCATCTGGAATTTGATATATAGACCAGGCTGGCCTCTACCTCACAGAGATCCATCTGCCTGCCTCTGCCTTCTGAGTGCTGGGATTAAAGGCTAGCAGATCTGCACTTTTAATCTAGCATTCTCTGTTCAAGTAAACACAGTCAGACATCCAATCTTGGCTTACCATCTGCTAAGTAATTATGACCAGAAGAATAAATGTCAGATTAGAATTGCATGAAACTGAACAAATATAAATCTGATTTAACAATTTTTCAGAAATGAGAAAAGAACAAGAAGCACACTTTAGCAGACAGCTGGTAGAAACACAGTAAAACGTAACAGCTAAGTGACATGAGGTTTATTTATAACTCAGCCCCACAAGAAGATGCAGTTAAATATGTTAGTGTGAATTAATTAGAGGGTCACAAAAATGTTTTTTAGTTAAATAATTTTAGAGTCAATCCTTAACACTGTAGCAATGATATAAATAGGTGTCAAAATCATTTGATAATTCAAAAAATATGACTAACCCAAACCTACTGTGATAATCTATTTTCTGGCTCATCTTTTTGATGTGAATGAATTCTGCAAAATGAAATAAATACTGTTAAAAATATCAAAGCCATTGACAACTGTGACAGAGAAGACAGATTTCCCCCTCAATTCATTTCTCCTTTAATGTTAAGATTCCTACTCTGAGCTCAGCATAAGTCCTGTGGGGAGAAGGATGTCATCTCCACACCTTCCTCCACTAGGTTAGAAACTCAAGGAAGGTATTCCTTGCTTATTCCCTCCATGAGCATGAGGTAGAGTAGGGAGTCCCACACAGGCACAGGCCATGAAATCTGTCTTGCTTAAGTCACTGCTACTTTGGGTCTTTGATACAGAAGTTGAATTTATTTCTTAACTAATACTAATACTTCATCTCTGAAAATATGGCCATTCACTTTTGGGGATTTAATGCATCTATGAATTTGAGATCCCACCCCCCTTTCTAATATGTCTAAAAATGGAATGAAATTCATTATTAACATTATACCCTTGCTTTTGGGAAGCCTGCAGTTGCCACTGCCTTAATTTATTGTTTATATGTTTCTCTTTTATGTACATATGTAAACCATACACTAAAAAAAAAAATCTATGTTTATTCTAAGACTAAAATTTTAGGAGGTCAAAACTTAGTTGGCATTTGTGCAATGCCTGTAGAGACCAGTAGAGGGCGCTACAACTTCTGGAGCTGGCATTATGGATGGCTGTCAACTGTCATGTGGGTGCTAGTAATTGGACCCAGGTCCACCTCTCCAGCCCCTTAGCTGGCTTTTTATTTTTTGGTCTTTTTTGCTCTCCCTGTAGCCACTGTTAGCCTGGAACTCCCTATGTAGACCAGGCTGGCCTCAATCTCACAGAGATCCACCTGCCTCTGAGATTAAAGGCCAATCCCTGCTTGGCTGGCATTTTTATAATCTTTCAAGTAGTATATAAAATAAGGGTGTGACTTAACATGGGTGATATTTTAGAGTATATAAAATAAGGTTTTAAATCACCAAGTTTTCTGCAATGACACACCATTCAAACTGCACCAGCACAAGTCAAAGGTACAGTCTTTTAAGTTACACTGCTGAATTTAACCCTCAGCTCCTTCACTCTTGACTAATGAAACCTGTGTTTTATCCACCTGAGCCCCAGGTCCCATGTCCGCAAAATGGGCACAATATCATTTCTAGAACTACTTGTCAAGTAAATGAGTGAATGTGTTAAGCATGACAATTATGACACACCTATTTACCTACCTATTATGCACTTTCCTCCCTGTATGCAGAGTGGATTGATTTCCTTGGGGTCATACTACTGAGCAGCCTGACCTTAGAGTCTTCCTTCCTGACCTTTGTGCTCTGCTGGCCAACAAGGCAGCAAAGAGCACCACTACAGGTCCCTTCAGGGTGCTGGCGGGAGCAGGTGCTTCAGTCATGTGTTGACCAGCACTCTCAGGGTTTGATTCACCACTAAACTACATTGTGCCTCCTCAGTACAGGTCATAGCAGGGTTTACAAATATAGTGTTAGAAAACAGTCATGACCAGTCTTCCTCATTTTGGAAATTTAACTTATTTTGCTAGATGAAGCTAGTTGAAATATTCCAATTTCTCTGGGATTTTCTTAGACAATTATATTCAAAATGCTCCCTCCTCCCCCTGTATTTAAGCCTAAAAAGTTTAGAGAAGTTACAGAAACAAAACATTATAAAAGAAAACTTTTAACAATTTAGCCAGAGAACATAGGCTATTATCATTGATAACAAGTGGAGCTTAGTTTTCAATATACCTCATTTGATGAAATTTAAACCTGCAAAGATCTATCACCAAAGCCCACAGCACCAAAGCCATAAGGTGTTGATCCAGAGAGGCCCTACTCAACATACTGGAAGAGGCAATTTCTTCAGTGCGCACTCATAGTTTGCAAGGTGCATCTTTCAATCATATGAAAACTTGGTCAAGATCGTAATAGAACTTTTAGACCATCATTTTCACAAATTCGAATCCAAACAAAATACAGTATTTCAACTGCTTCAGAGATTGAAAGAATTATAATGTATCATATTGGGACTTTGTAAATTTCACTTTGGTTGATATAATTTACAAATTCTTGGATAACAAGAGTAGGATCTCCTCCATTGGACAATCAATTATTAATTACAGTGGGAGAAACCTGCCCACCCACTTAGGACAGCCAAAGTACCATCTCTTTCAATATGCCTTGATTAGCACTGAGGCCTCAAGGGAACACTTCTTTTACCTTTAAAGCTCTCTTAACTGCAGACTTCTTCAAGACACCGGGGTTAAAGTCTAATGGGTTACTCTTTCAGGTCCGAAGAAAATGAATATACCAAGGGTTAGTAAGAACATGCAATGAGGAATTATGTAATGTTAATGACACAAAAGTTCATGAGAATAAACAAATGCTTAAACCAGACCAAGAATTATACAAGCAGCTAAATTTGCCTTTATGATCCAGATTAATCTCAAAAATGAAGACTTCCTCATCCTCCGTAACTCTTACCCTTCCAGTTCTGAGCTTTGGGCTTCGCAAAATCTAAGAGTGAGACTTGAGGAAAGGCTGTTTACCATCTTTTGCCTGAACCCTCTAATGTCACCACAGTTAGTGGTTTTATCTGAAGCACAGTAGTGGTCATGCTGCCCATAGCACTGGAGCCTGTCCCACCTGCTATCCCCTCAGAGACCTGCCTTTTTGGTATAGCACCATCCAGAGACAGAGTCTGCTTTACATGCACCCTCTCACACTTCCCAAGTGTGCCAACCAAGTGGCACAGGCCAACAAGGACATCTTGAGTTTCTCCTAACTTTAAATACATTCTACTGTTACAGGTTTTATGTGTTACTAACTGAATTTCTTCAGATAATTGTTTTCTCACTCTCAAATAGACGAGACTAAATTGTTTTGGAAGCTCCTTCCAGGACCAATATTTGAGGGTAAAGATTTTTATCATTTTAGTTTCAGACAGCTCACAGGACTCTCCAAAGACCCAGAACACACTGCTTCTATCTCTGGATGGAGCCTGGATGAGGCATTCCCTAACAGCTTCCAGAAATGGATCATGGTTCAGAGTGAGCCTGACTGATGCTCTCCAATACCACAAGGACCTTTTCTGAAGCTCACATTAAACGGATATAGCTGAACAAAACGTGCTTGTTATTCTAACATGCATCAATAACCAGGAATCAAGGAGAGGAGCTGCAGTGTGGATTAGGTGTGGAAGAGCAGCTATGTGAGGTCACAGTTACTACACAGTCTGGGGGTGAGACAGATCACTGAAATACTTGGGGCAGATTTCTGAATGAGGCTCAGAAGCTGGGCACCATATACTCCTGGGCCTCTCACAATCAATAGAGGCATTGGCACTTGAACTTTTTTTTTTCCCACCAAGAACCATGGGTTGGGAACATAGCTCACTTGAGAGTGCTTACCTAGCATTCAGGAAGCCCTGAGTTCAATTCCCACTACCTCATCAACCAGGAATGGTGGTATATGCCTGTGAACCCAACACTCTGAAGTATAGGCAGAATGATCAGAAGTTCAAGGGTCATCCTCAGCTATATAGAGTTTCATGGGATAAATGAGACCCTGTCTCAAAAAAAGGAAAAAGGTAAAATAACCTGTAAAGCATCCTTTCCCCTAAGGCTCTGCTCAATGATAGGTATTAATTACATGGTGGTATTCTTACGTTTAAGGTAGGCATAATGTAAATATCACTCACCTCAGATAACATAATATAATAACGAGTTCTGAGATCTCTTGTCTCAGTCACTTAGGTCCTTTGTGTTGTCATTTCCTAATCTGTTAAATGACCATAATGGTCTAGGGATTAAATGAGATGCATATGTAGAGTCCTTATGGCCTGTGTGGCTACTGCAAAGTGCTCAATAAGCACAGGTTATGAAGCAAGCCCAAGATTCTAAAGCTGCCATAATCAGAAAACAGCCTAACTGTTGAGGCTGAAGCTGAGGGATGGCAAAGTTCTAGTCTACACTAAAAAGAAATCATTTCCAGTACAGAAGAGAATCCACGGAGTGGAAATTGAAGGTGCTTTGAATAGGTGGAAACTTAGACAACCACGGACTGTAGTCATTTAAAAAAAGCTTTTCACACACAAGTAATGGCCTTTGCCTGTAGAGAAAGATGAGAAAGCTGATATGACTTTACATTTCAAACCTGTGGGAAAAAAGGTACCCCACAAAATATTTTAATATGGTGCAGATATCCTAATCATAAAACACAATGTGACTTTGACAGTGAACTTAAAGAATTGATTTAGAGAACCCAATGATATCACAGGCTAAATGCTACAAAGCACCTTAACAATCTGACTAATGGAAGCTTAAAGTTACTTCTAAAAAGTGAAGAATATGCAGCCATTATTATTACCTTTTTACTCTTTTTTTTTTTTAAGACTGGCTTTCAAGATTGAGGCAGGAAATACTCCTGTATTAGCCTCCAGAGTACAGGGATTACAGGCTGGCACCACCAGATGGCTTCTTTGTGATATTTAAAAATGGCCTTAAGCAAGAATGAGTGCCCAGAGTTAGGGAGACCAAGGTACCACTTAATACTCGTGTGATCTGCCTGTCCTTCAGGGCACTGATTTTCCTTGTTTATAAAAATAGGGCCAAATACCTAAATTTTTTAAATAACATTTATTATTTTTATTTTATGTGTATGAGTGTATTGCCTGCATGTATGTAAGCGCACCTGCATTGTGCAATGTGTGTAAAGGTCAGAAGATGGTGTCAGATCCTCTGGAGCTGGAGTTATGGATGGTTGTTAGCTGCTATGTGGGTGCTAGGATTTGAAATGAGCTCCTCTACAAGAGCAGTCAGTGCTCTTAACTGCTGAGCCATCTCTCCAGCCCAAATATCTAGTTTTTACAGTACAGTTCTCCATAGTCCTCTTCTTAGAAATAAGAATAACCTGAGGGTGTATATGTTATATCTTTGAAAACAGAAACTACAAAAATGCAAAGACTGTCACCATTAGATTCAAAGGGTAAGTAGACCATAGGAATCTCACTAATTATGGTACAAATCTTAAAAAGTGACTTTCTAGATGAATTAGTAGACTACTAAATTGTAGTGGTTTTATCTGACCCAAGAGCAAGTGAGTCCAGTAGCCACTAGACCACCCAGAAAAGCACCAGGAGTGGAGGTCTCAGACAGGTGATTCCAGCAGTTATGAAGAGATTGAAACAAAATGTCCAATTACTCACTCCAAATCACAAACCCACTGTAGCTTTCTTCTCCTCTTCCACAAGCTCTGGCTAGGCCATGTAGCAGAGGCAGGCTCTCATAGAGATGTGACTCCTGGCTGCATGTGACCATATCTGGTGACAGAGTGGACTAGGTGGTATGGACTGGAACAGTCCAAGTTCTAATGCTGCTGTACTTGGTCAGGGGGAAAAAGATTTAGCAAAGTTTTGTGAAATTTAAAGCAATGTTTACATCTCTTGTTGAGATGAATTACAAGATCAATTTTCTATTTATGGCTTCATTTCTCCCTCAGAGGAGCACTTATTACATTTTATGGACCAGCAGCAGTAGAGTTAGTTCAGGTTAGTTCATGTCACCTCAGATGCACTCGCAACATCACAACAGCATGACATTTGATGAAACCAGTACAAAATGAAGACATGGTAAGTGAAGTCATGCAAGAAAATGGAAATAACATGCGCATCATTCCAACGAATAGACTGCACAGAAGTTCCAGGCCACACGTGGGCAGTCTTCACTGAACACAGAAAAAGGAGCTGGAGGACTCACAAATAGTGCTCTATAGACTGAGGTAGTATTCTCACAAAACACTAGTCCCGACGCTCGCCTCTCTTTTAAGTAGCCACACCCAAAGTTTCCCTCGAAGATACTCTTAGAAAAGTGGAGACAGGAAGAGAAAGCAAGAACGGTGGATTGTGGTCAGTGGGCACGCACCAGAAGCACAAATAAACAGGGGTGCAGGAGAGTCAAAGGATCCCAGGCCACACAGGGGACCGGCCAGCAAAGCCTCCAGATTAACACCAACAATCAACAGAATGGCGGCTCTGTGGATCCTCTGCCTCTGATCAGCCATGGCACATTCCATGCGCAAAGAGCAGCACATTCCCTGTCTATTGTGCTTATGTGACATTATCTAAATTTCAAATTAATGTGACAAAACACAAGCCTGTACAGAGAAGCCTAATCCTTTCTTCCAGTTCATCAATTCTTTTCTATATCCTAAAATACGCAACAATTCATTTCTTTTTATTTTATTTTTTTACAGTCATTTATTGGGAAGGGAGGTGCTTTTTAAATTTTAAATTTATTGGGAGGGGAGGTATCACTGTACACACATGGAGGTCAGAGGGCAGCCTGCAGGAGTCAGTTCTCTCTTTCCACCACATGTGTTTGGGGAATTGAGCACAGCTTGTCAGGCCTGACTGCAAGTGCCTTTACCAACTCGGGCATTTCAAAGGTCCAACAAATTCACTTCTATCAGGCATTATAAAACATTGCAACATTTTCTAACAAACATTACTGTGGTCAAAAGCAGAAATCTCTACTGTGTGAGAAATTCTACAAAAAGGTTAAATGATAATGAAGTAGATTTTCTCAAACTGGAATCATAACAGGTAAGGTCACAGACTTTAGATTGAAAAACCAGCCAAAAGGTTAAGGTAAAAACTTTAAGAAGAATGAAAGAATTTACAAAGTTAATAATCAGCCAAGGAACCTTCATTGAAAGAGTACAAGTACTGGCCGTTACATACCTCAAAGAGACTACATCCTCCTATTGCAAAATGCTCCACCCCTTCAGATGTTAACTTGTATACACAAAGTACATTTACTTCAGTTTTGTAGCAAAGCCCAAGTAAACGTACAATTTTCAAAAACTAAAAGGTATTAAATGATGCAGTTTTACAAACCATCAGGAACCACAATCTACCTCAATGAGGTGTACTCTCCTGGATGGAAGTTTAAGAGAGAATTTTGAAAAGGGCAAGTGAAGTGCTTCTTTGCTCTTTTGTCTGGAGACTATTCACAAATGTACTTATGTGACAGAGCATTTACTTAATGGAGGAAAAATTATGCAATGGGCCATCTTGAAAAGACTCTACTTAGAGCAGTGTTCTTTCTTTCAACAAAACTGACTGTTGACACAATGAAATAGAGAACTACTTCTGGTGAGCAAGCATATGGACACCCAGAAAGTTACTCAATAATATAACATTTATAACGAGAACATTACCCTAGCTAACAAGGTTTAAAGCATGATGGTGGAAGATCATCCTATCCCTCCAAAACAATCTAGTGTAAACAAATAAGGCACATACTTTTAGGCAGCATAGTATTATCTGGCATTGTCTCTTTGTTCTGTTGGAAGCATCCAAGGTCAGCACCTGAAGGTCAGCACACCTACCTGGTGGCACCATCCTGTACATTTAGCCCCAATGACAGTCACAGCTCAGCAGTTCATGCACTGCTGTGGTAGAGCTAAGATGTGTTTAGGGTTTGTGATCAAAGCTACTGCACTTATTCCCCATTCCAAGAAGGGACAAGTTCCACCTTTAGGCAACTAACTTATAATTAGAGATAAATATTATGTGCAAAGCAAATGCTAACTTATGCCTCTCTGCACTGCCAGACAGGAGCAGGTGACATGCTGTAGTTGAACAAAGCAGTAATTCCCAAGCAAAAAAAAAAAAAAAACCCACCCACGGAGTTAGCACTGTGTTACCTACCGGAAGGTTCCTTGCAGAATCCAAATATAAGATCAGCAGTGCAGATGAAAGACCATCATTAGCTTGGTCTTTGTCAGCTCTGATGTCTGCCAGCACCTACAAGGAAAGAAAAAGGTATCAGCAGGCTGTGTCCATGTGAGTGCACACTGTTTCTATCTATGCTCAAGGAAATAAAAGACATAAACAAATACACAGCGGACCAAGAATGAGATATCTTCCAAATGAAAAAACTATCATTCCACACAAGTCAGTGAAAATAAAGCAGTCAGATAATGTGTGGCCCTCCAAATCCCCATGCTGAGGCAAGCATGAAATCTGAAGATCTCATAGAACAGGAACAATGACCTATACATCTTATGCACACATGTTTTCTGATACTACTGTAGTGACTTATGACATAATAATCAAAATTACTGGAATAATTTTTCTTAAACAAGTACCAACACAAAGAGACTGGTCCTAGTTATCAGGAGTGGGTGATGCTGCACAGCACCTTGTCGAGGTTTGACGCATCCGGCATCAGTGTGAGCCACTCGAGTTTCAAGTGCAGCTTTCCTTTGGGAACCTCATCCAAGGTAAACCACTGAAGAGAAAGTGTTTAAGTTCAGCAAAAAGTTTTCCTGAATCAAGAATTTCAATTAAATTCAATCTACAAAGTTACAAGTTGCTCACTGACTCTAAAACCAACAGTTCTTACTCAGCACTGAAGGGCTGCACTTGTCATTTGGCTTATGTCTCATGTTCCAAGGTGATGGTGGGGGCCAGGGCTGGCCAGAGACCATGTTCAAAGATCCATCTGTCCTAACAAAGCCCCTGAGAAGTAGTGAGCACTATCATCACACACAGGTTCAAGTGTTCAGTCTAGTACTAACAAGGCTTCTGTGTGCAGGGTCACACGGCACTAAGAGGCAAGCAGAGTACAACACTGATCCCCAGATACAGAACGGCAGGCTCAAGGAAGTTAACCTCTGTTTTTATTCATTGCTATATACCACTTAATAAAAATAGTGTGTAGTTTTTCCACTTAAAAGTCACAAAACAAAGATGACCTCCTCCCCTAACATTCATTGTTAAAAGAGGACTGCCACAAAGCAGGATTCTGTCTATTCTGTCCAACGCTGTGCTCACTGCCTGGCACCTAACAGATGTACAAGAAACACTGAAATGGATGGCAAGTACTCATGAGGAAAGAGTGTTGTTCTGAAAGCAACAAAACCCCAACATTGATTTGGTCAATCAGGCTTCACTTACTGAAGTCTCACCAATCTTTTTGAAGCCATCATACATTTTTCCTTTACGTATTTTTAAATTTTTCTGGCATTATGGATCACTCTCCCTGCATGAAATGGTGTCTTCTTATTGCAAATTCTTACTGCATTTACAGGTATCTTTATGTTCTGACAGCAATGTGCACCTCTGCTAAGCAGTCTAATACGGTGAAACTTTCTATTACGGTGAGCATCTTATACCCCTCTGTCCTAATTCCTGCAAGGCACACAATCTGTCTGAAATAGTTAGTTTTACATGTTGTGCTCATTCACAATCTGTCCTGTGGTGCTGGGAATCAGACCCAGGTCTCGCACATGCTAAACAAGCACATTACCACTGAGCTATGCTCTTACATCTGTAACATTTATGAAGCAATGCTGTTCATACAACATAAACCAGAATTCCCACACTGGGTAGGTGGGTAATAGCAGTGGGTCACAACTCCCCTGGCATACAGGAGGTACTCACATAATGTTTATGAAATGGACCAAAGTCAGAGAAAACTTACTTCATCTAAAAGGCGCTCCTTCTCAACTTCAATAAGATCAATCATAAGACTATAGGAATAACAACACAAAAAACTTTAGAACACAGAAATATACTTCTTTCAACTAAAATAACTTACGCATTTTTCCATAAGAATGTACTCTAGAAATGCAGCAAAATGTTACACAATTTGCCATGAAACAGGTTGCTCTTCCCAAGGTTTCTTCCAATGTATGCCCAAGAATGTCAAGAGAAGTAAAAATATGGCTGATTTTCTGAGGTCTGAATATTGAGCAAACAGCTAGGCCACAGCTGACAAGTTTTTTTTCTTTCCCATGTATATGTGTGTGTGGTGTGCACATATGTACATGTGTTTACATGTGTGTGGGTGTACATGTGTCTGTGGTGTATATGCAACATGTGTCTGTGTGGAGGCCTGAGGCTAACTTCAGGAATCGTCATCAATCACTTTCCACCATGGGCTCCCATGCCCATCCAGCACTGATATATGTTCTGGGGATCTGAGCTCCAGTCCTCATGCTTACATGGCAAGTGCTTTATGCACTGAGCCATCTCCCTAGCCCCAGCTGACAAGCTCTTCCTCATATTCCAGGACTCATATAAGCTCTCCCTTGGTGCTACTACCCATCACTGTGGACTCAGTTAACTGCATACTGAATGTTAATTCCAACTTTTCATCCTTGCTCCAGGGTTCTAAACTCACACTGTATCAAGTCCCTTAGCAAGTCTGAGAGAAGTTCTACTTCCTCCAAACAATCCTATTTCAGCTCAAAGAATGGCATCATCTCCATAGGAGCCAGAAACGACTAAGATGGGATGATTCTACTGGTTCTTCTTTTTTTGGGGGGGGGGTCTTTTTGAGACAGGGTCTTCCTGGAGCCCCAGTTGGCCTGGAACTTCCTATGTAGTCCAGGCTAGCCTCAATCTCACAGAGGCCTGCCTCCGCCTCCCGAATACTGGGACTAAAGACGTGCACCACCATGACTGGCCCTACTCTACTCTACTTCTTAATATATACTCCTTTCTGTCTCTACAACCTAGGTCTAAGTGTGAACTCTCACAACTCAACCCTAGCCAATGACAACAGGCTCCTAATTGATCTCCTAGACTCAAATCTACATGCAGATTTTACTACAGTACATGTTTGATTGGATCACTTTCCTGTTCCTACTTAAGTTGTCTGTGTATGCAGTCACAGATTCTGAAGTCACAGCATATCACACAGGTCTTAGGGCCACTCCTGATGAGGCTTAAACCTTTACAATGCCATTTACTTCGCCATCTTTTTTTCCTAAAATAAATTCAGTTAAATAACCTAACCAGGTAGAAATGTATTAGGTGTATGTATATATTATATGTGCAGATATGTGTGCAAATCTGTGTGTGTAGGCCAGAGGACAACCTTGGATTTTGTTCCTCAGGTACTGTCCACCTTGTTTTCTTGAGATAGGTTACCTCACTGACCTGGAGCTCATCAAGTATATTAGGTGGGCTGGCCTGTGAGTCCTAGGGACCCACATGTCTCTCTGCCTCCTCAGTGTTGGGATTATAAGCATGTGTCATTACACCCATTCTGGGTTTTTTGCACATGTTCTAGGACTAGAACTCAGGTCCTTATGCTTGCAATGTGAGCACTTTACCCACTAAGTTACTCAGCACCAGAAATATATAATTATTTTTAGATTTATTTTTATTATTTTATGTGTATGTGTGTGTCTGTGTGAGTGAATGCCATGTGTATGCAAATACACACTGAGGCCAGAAGGGAATGTCAGGACCTTTGAAGCTGAAGTTACAAGCAGTTGTGAGCTGCCTTATATAGACGCTGGGAACTGAATTCATGTCCTCTGGGAGAACAGCAAGTGCTCTTAACCGCTGAGCCATCTCTCCAGTCCCAGAAATGTATTTTTAAAGCTCATTTTTTTCAGCTGTGTTAGTTCTTCAATTGAAATAAACAAATCAATATTTATTGTAGTAATATGTGGGCACAATGTAAATGACTATCCTAGCAAAGTGAAAAGGCTTAAAGTTAAACCCACACTTAGAGTCTGGAAGGAAGTGTCCATAAGAATCCCATGCACTAGGGTGGCTCTGTACATAGCCAGTGGGTCCTCTAGTTTGCTTATATCTAATTGCTTTGGTATAACTAGCCCTAGGGCTAGTGATTACTGTGATGGGCAATTGAATTTTTTTAGTAATAAAAATGCTTTAGGAAATATATGGTAAAATAAATGTCATATCTAAAAGCCATTTTAAAATGTGTATATTTAAATAAATGAATTTTAAAGCTTGCATCTGTGAAGAGTGATTAGAAGGGTGTTCCTCTGCTCTGTCTTTACCTTCCTAAGAAATCATCCTTGTCTGGATCTTCATCAAAGAGCTCAATCTCCAATTCTTGTCCAGGGTGTTCATAGACTAAGGCCTGAAAATTAATGGTTAGTAGTTACTGCATTATTATCATCGCAGTCATCCACTAAGTATGATGATTATAACAAATGCATGTACTTTTCTCTAGCAGTAAGCAGTTTTTAAAGCACATTTTCTTATTGTCAGACCACACGTACTTCTCCATGACTGGGCCATTCTAAAATACTTGTCCATAGAGTAAGTCTGCTCAGCTTGTTTCGGGTTATCTGAATTCCATCTCAGTGGGTCAAGCACAAATCCCTGAAACAAGGTGGCAGTGAGGTCACCCACAGGTCTCTCTAAGGCCTCACGCAGAGTGAAGATGTAGTACATAATGCCCCCAAGCTCTCAAGTGGCTCCATTTAGATGCTACCCTTGAACAAGTGCAAGTTATCTACTTAGCATTTAGAGCATAAGGAATTGATAAGATGAGGGTGACCAAGGATGGAGGCGGCAAGCAGGAGAGGTATAAACTGTACTACTATTCTGAAGAACCCTGTCCTTAGAAAACCTGTAACTTCTGGTTAAACAATTTTACTTTAAGGAGCTATATATGGGAGAAACTGGGCCAAGTGAAGGAAAATACATTCACATTACACTTACAGAGCACTGGTTATGATTCTGTACTTAGTAGCCCAGGCCCAGGTAAAGAAGTTCAGTGGACTAGCTACTAAAATTCAGGTAGATCCTGCTGGGTGTGTTGAACACCTATAATCCCAGCACTTGGGAGGCTGAGGCAAGAGTATCATCAGTTCCAGAATAGCCTGAGCTACAAAGAAAAATGTGTCTCACAAAAAGAAAACATAACAAAATGAAATAAAAACAAATAACATAAAGCAAAAGGAAACAAAATAAAGCAAAACCAAGTCATGTAGATATCTGTCTATTCACTGACATACAAAGATGTCCAGATATAGTAAATGAGAAGTTTATAAAAAGGTATATTCTCACTTTTGTGTTTATGTGTTTTAACTACTTATAATATTTTATAATTAGAAAAGGTTATTTACATTAAGAAAAATATATTGCTATTATTCATTATGGTAGCTTTATATAAAATTAAAGAATCTATGTGTTCACATGACAAGAATGCTTTGCAGAGGGAAAAGAAGTAAAATGTTATTTTTAAAGATGGGAAATTAGGGGCTGGAGAGATGGCTCAGTGGTTCCAAGCACTAACTGCTCTTGCAGAGGACCCGGGTTCCATTCCTAGCACCCACACAGTGGCTACGAACCGTCCTTAATTCCAGTTCCAGAGGAATCCAAAACCCTCTTCTGACCTCCGCAGCACTGCATGACATGGGTGTACTCACATACATGCAGGCAATACACTCATACACATCAAAAAAAAAAAAAAAAAAAAAGATGGGAAATTAAGGCCAAAAAACCCTTAAATAATAGCCCAAGTTAGCCACACTTTTGAATGGCAGGCCTAGAATCAGACTGCACACAACGGGGCACAATGGCTTACCTCATACACCTCACTCCACTTTGGACTAAGGTTCTCTTTGATGACTTTGCTTTGAAAGATTTGGTTGCCCACTCGGATAATTCCGTAGGGGTCTGACTTTCCCTTGACAAGGCCTTTAAGGTAAGTGTCCTTTCCCTGAAGATCCTGAGCTTCAATAAAATGTATCCTTAGAACACCCTGAAAAGAAGAATAAATTACCTAAACTATTTGCTGGCTCATTTATGGAGAATGGAAGATAGCTATGTGGAGGTGCCAAGGGAACAAAAACTTTGTTCACATACAGTGTATACCCCAGCAGTGACTGTGACAGCAGTCACAGTGTAACAAGTGCTCAGAAAACAAGTATTAAGAAAAAAGGACAATGTCATCCCACTAGATAGTGGTGCTGTTTGATGGCTTAAAGGCGCTTCAGTAGACTATGTGAGTCAAATAGAGACCTGCAGAGAGCCATTCTGGCAGAGTGAGCACCAACTGTAGAGGTCCCAAGACAGCAGTATGCTTATCTCCAGGAAGCCAGTAACACAGGGCCATGAGGCTCATCAAAAATGTCTACACTCTGTTACTAAGTAATAATTAACATGACAGGGTGTATCAGACCTGCTACTAAAAATCCTCAAAGGCAGTAAGCATGTCACTCAACTTTTAGAACAATCCTGTGCAGCGCTGTCATTAGGCTTATTTTATAGAGGAGGACACTGAATCTCTGAAATATGTATGATTCATCAGCAATAAACAGTCCTTCTTAGAAGCTGTTTTATTGATAGAAGAAAAAAATTTACTCATATTTCTTTCACAGCAAACAAAGGTGGTAAAGTTTAGTAGGGTAATATTCTCCCTCCAAAAGCTTAAATTAAAACATTATAGGACAATATTCCTGACTTGGGATCAGCACAAAGCAAACATCTCTACAGATGAATACACTTAAGAAAACATTACAAGATTCTTGTATTTTCATATGGTTACAGCTGAGATGATCTGGCTATATCTTTCTGCAACATTGGCTTTAAGTCCATGGGATAATTTAGGGCAGCAGGATCCAGGTTGGGTCTAATGTTTCCTTGTATCCAGGGCACAAAAGAGATTCCTGTATCTTAAGGAAAAAATATTCTTTTCTTATATGTAGCATCTTATCAAATCTGTTGAATGCCAACAACATAATTTTGGCAGCGAATTAAATGGGGTGTGTTATTCTTTTAAAAAATGAAGAAACTGAAGATGTAGGTTAGTTGCAGAGCACCTGCCTAGGATGCATGAGGCCCTGGATTTGAGCCTCAGCACCAAAGGGAGGAAGGAAGGGAGAATGACTATATAGATATATTCATGCATGCTGATTTGTATTTTGTTACTGGAATCTAAATCAGAAAATATGAAGAACATCAAGGCAATGCTACCGCCACTAAGGGAAATAAAACTGAAACCAGCACACCCAGTAAGGAGTACCAGCTCACTTCCTGTTTTAGTTAACTAAACTGTCTGAAATGTATCAGTACTACTTCTTACTGCAGAAAATCCCTGGTGGCACTGCTTCCTTGACCACATGGATCCACATGCAGTGGCTGACAACATGACCAGAGAAAAGGCTTTAGAGTCACTGTCTTTGCATACAGTGTTCTGTTTACTCAAGGTCACTCCAACTGTCTGTGATAGCTCTGTGTGCCAAGTACTATCCACATTTTATAGATGCTGAAATTGAGGCCAAGCCACACCCAGTCACATGTAACAAACACCACCTAGTTCAAGAGTTCTGCTCTTTCCATTTTGTTTAGTTCAGCTATATATTAAGTAATATATAGCTCCAGAGATAATCATATTCCAATTCCTGAGAGAAAACTTGCAAACGTCATCAAAATTCTCATCATATTGGGGCTAGAGAGATGGCTCAGTGGTTAAGAACACTGGCTGTTCTTCTAGGGGACCAGATTCGAATCCCAGCACCCACATGGCAGCTAACAACTGTCTGTAACTCCAGTTCCAGGGGATTCGAGAGCTTCTTCAGTCATCAGGCATCGCACGACATGGGTACACTTAACCCACGCAGGCAATACACAGATACACATAAAATAAAAAAGTAAATTCTTGTATCAACAGTCTCATCTCGCTTGCTGCTGGGAATGGTTACATCTCCACAAAAAGCAAACACAGCATGTGCCTTCTGAGATAACACTGGTCTGCTATTCTCTGCTGTCCTTAAGATTTGCAGCACCCTTTGCAGAACTGAGCCTTACTGGTCCCATGGAGCAGCATGACTAAAGCATAAGAACCATCCAAGGTTTCCGGGATAGCTTGAGGGTCAGAGGTTCCCTAGCACATCTCTGGGGGAGTACAGGGCAGTCAGCACTGCATTAACGCAGGTAGCGGCAGCTGTTCAGAAAGATACAGGAAGGCTAAAGATAACACCATGTGTTTGGAAAGGTCCTTAAGATGTTTTAAAATAGTGGAAACAACTGTATGCTTACCTTTGGTATAGGAAACCGCAATTGAGCTATCTGAATTTCACTGACAAGAGGAACAGTGATGCGATTGGGAAGCACCAGATAGTTTGATATTATATCCAAGATGATAGTATCAGATAAACCACTGTTAGTTGGGAGATAAGGAACAAACAATCAGAGATATCAATGCTTGCTGTCCCCTTTAACAATAAACATGCTACAACTATGATACCATAGCCATGTATGAGGTGGGAATTCTCTAACTTCCCTAGGATAGTATCTAAAGCCAGTGTCTCAACATATCAGTTGCTATGCTATTGTAACTATGAGGCAGAATTTTATTTTTGGAGGACAAGGTAAAATTCTAGCTGCATTTCATTTATTTATTTATTTGTTTTTTTGAACCAGGGTCTCCCTGTAGCCCCAGATGGCCTTGTAGACCAGGCTGGCCTTGAACTCATAATTTGCTAAACAATCTTTTAAATATTCCTATGTAGTTTTATCAAAGACTTAATATTGAACAAGATACATTTCATTAACTCTTTTTTTTTTTTTTTTGGTCTACATAGTGAGTTCCAGGGCAGCTGGGGCTACAGGGAGACGCTGCTTCAAAAAGACAAAAAAAAAAAAAATTATATCACAGAAAATATTGTATTTTATTATACAAAACATACATAGTATACATAAATATATGATCTTATTTTATAGAACTATTTCTATAGATCCCCCCATACCACAGATAGCTTCATGCTGTGTTATATATATTTCTATACATGTGACATACTTAAGCATGTACTTGTATGTATGTACAGGTTTGTATGTGCATGCACCTGCATCTGTGGAGCAGAGGTCAACCTTGGGCATTATTCCTCGGATGCTATCTACCTTGTTCTCTGAATCAAAGTCTGTCAAAGGGCTTGGAGCTCTTGGTTTTAGGATAAGGTGGCTGGATAGTGAGCCCCAGAATCCACCTGCATCATCTCACCAGTTCTGGGGTTACAGGCACATGCCACCACACCTGGCTTTTTATACAAGGGCTGGGGATCAAACTCAGGTCCTCATGTTTACATAGAAACCACTATAGCAACTCAGCTATGTTCCCAGTTCCTTCAGTATGTATTTTAATGATATAATTTTATATAAAATAAATTGTAATATATACTTCATACATATAAGAACTATATATTAATAGCTAGAAACTACTACTGTGAAGAACCTACTTATATATAAATAAGTGAATAATATGAAGCTAGACACATGTGCAAATGGATGTGCATATTCATATGAGTTTCTCTATTGTGACTGTGTATATATATATATCTTTTGTAAAAAAATTTGTTTGGGACTGGCTGAGAGCTTGTAAGGGACGGGGCATGTTCTTTGATGCCAAACTGTCAGGTAGTTGATACAATGTTGTTATAATAATTACTATTATTTTTTTATTTTTTGAGATGATCTTACTATGTTGTCCCAGATGTACTGGAACTTACTATGTAGACCATCCCAGGCTGGCCATGATCTTATAGCAATCCGTCTGCCTTTGCTTAGAGTCCTGACATTAAAGGTATGTGCCACCATGCCCAGGAGCTAATACAATGTTATTTACAGGGCAGATAGATGATCAATTAGCCTGTTAATTTCAGTCTTCTTATAATGCTGAAGAAATAAAGTAGAAGACTACACTAATCCTCATAGGTATCTGTTCTTTTTATATGGCTAATAGGATCCAAAAAGCAGCTCTACTTCCAGTGAAAATTCTTGCTTTGTGGGATCCAACATTTATTGAGGTTCTATTTTTGAAGCAACTGATTCATTTCTTGGTTTCTTCTAAGGTATACTTAAGACCCAAACCTGACCATCAGATTCATGGGAGACAGGTAGACACACAAGGCAGTCCTAGAGTTTTTGTTAGGACTAGAAGGAAAGGCTACTTTGTAGAACAGAAGCTTGCAGTTTCTGTGCACAGCAAGAACCTGCCTGAAGACAAGTGCAAAGATTCACCACAAGCATGGACAACCCTACATTATTTGGCATCAACACCTGCCTGAGCCTGATATCGCATAAAGAATGTGGTGAGTAGCAAAGACAGTAGCAGAGCTCCCCAAGAGGAGTTGTGGGATAGTGCTACTATCAATTATGTCCAAGTGCTGAGAACAGTGGCTGGCTCAGAGCAGGCATGCAACACCCAAGTCTTGGATGAGTAACTGTACTGAATTTTAAAAGGATTAGTTAAAAATAAAACAAAAAACATAATTTGGGGAGGTGGGTGTGTAGCTCACAAGTACATTGTAGACTAGTGAGCGCAAAATCCTGGGTTTAATTCCCAGCACTGCAAATAGAAAATTACTGTGTCAATTTAAGTCGATTTTAGCCAAGATTCTAATGAACTATTTAACAAACCCTCTTTTCCTCCCTCTCTCTCCCCGCAACCCAGAAGTCTCACTATGCAGCCCTGGCTGGCCTTGAATTCACAGAGATCTGCTTACCTATACCTCCATGTGCTGAAACTAAAAGTGTGGACTGCACCACATTCAGCTAAATCTTTAATGAACTTTTAAAAGTTGTACTTTTGCCATAGAGGCCTTTAGTCCCAGCACTTGGGAGGCACAGGCAGGCAGATCTCTGTGAGATCAAGGACAGCCTCGTCTACATAGTGAGTTCCAGGCCAGCTGGGGCTACAGGGAGACTTTGTCTCAAAACAAACAAACACAAACAAACATACAAAAATCAAACAAACAAACAAACAAAATTATATTTTCCTGCCCATAGATCTTAAGATAACAGTGCTTTTATATATCTGGCAAGCCATAGTTCCTAAAAACAAACTTTATTTACGATTGATTATGCCTCATAAATATGCCTATAACTATGATTAAAATTGCCACTTTTCACTGATAATGAAACAAAACTTTTTTTAGTGGTCATTTCAGAGGCATAAACAAGTATACAAAAACAGAAAGAGTCTGAAATTAAAGTTTTGGAATTTAAATTTTTACACTATTTAAGAAGAAAAATCCACAGATTAACAAAATATCTACCAGAAACAAATGTTAACTTTAACTAATAAGCCATGCATTTTAATCTTCAAATAAAACAGTGCAACAAGCAAAAGTGAGCTGAGACAGCTGTAATTTTGAAACTTCCTGCCTGGTAGTAATTGACCAAGTTCCGTACTGCCATCTACCATTTCAGAAGGATGGGTAGTGAGGGAATGGGCATGCCATGACTCAAATGCTTATTAGGAGGCATTTTTCTTGATTTTCATTCACTGAATTGTTACAGTGTGATACCAGTAGAAACCTTAAACCCAGGTTCTGCTCTGACTCACTACTCTTTTTAGAGAGAATCAAGGTGACAAAAATCAGGAAGGGAAGGGACAGCACTAGCTTGGGAAACACAGCAAGCCCACTGCAAATAGACTCAAGACTTACTTCAGTCCAGGGATGTCCAGAAGATTAGTCAGCCCCGTCCAGTTAATTTCTAAAAGCTGTTTTTTAAAAAGGAGGTAAGTTATTAAATATCTAATACGTTTCCAGTCACCACATTATATGCATGCAGGTATCTTATAAATGAAGTACACAATATTGTCACACACCTTTCCCCTCTGTTTTGCAACACAGCAAAGACAGCTTTCTTTGTTGTGTATGAAGACCTGCTGGTTGTGAATTTTTGATAATTCCATAATTTTCTCTATTAAAATCATGTAATACTTAACTTGCTCTTCCTCCTATAGATAGACACTTAGACTACCTACAATTTCTCTTCTATTACAAGGTAACAATTCAGTGAGTATCTTTTTACATATATACTCATATATATGCATACAGACTAGCATTCAAAAAGTGGGTTATGGGCTGGCAAGATGGTTCAGCAGGTAAAAGTGCTGGCTGCTCAGGCCTGACAACAGGAATTCAATTCCTAAAACTCATAGTAGAAAGAGAAAATCAATTTCAGAAAGTTGTCTTCTTACCTCCACACACGCTATAACATGAATGCACCCAGACATATCACACACACGCACACACACGCACACACACAATTTTAAAAGCGGGATATGAGATTATGTTCATTTTCAATACTGATAGCTAAGTGACCTCCAAAAACACTTCATAAACTTATATTACCACCAAAAATATGGATAGAAACATACTTTCTGTATACCATCACCCAAAATAGACATTAAAAATCAGCCCACCAGTCAATTAAATAATGGTACTGACTAAGATTATGTTCATTTTCAATACTGATAGCTAAGTGACCTCCAAAAACACTTCATAAACTTATATTACCACCAAAAATATGGATAGAAACATACTTTCTGTATACCATCACCCAAAATAGACATTAAAAATCAGCCCACCAGTCAATTAAATAATGGTACTTTATACTTTGACTTATTTTGATTTGCATTTTCTTATGAATGGAACATACTCCATCTAGTCACTGGATTCATTTGTCTCAGAATGATTCTTATGTAGTTAGCTAGGATTCTATAGCATTTCTAAGCCATATTATAGCTATGCCTTAAAAAGGAAACAGTCTGACTCTTAGCATTCACAAGGTCAAGCGTGGACCCAAATTGCTGAGAACCTGTTCCTTCAGATGTCTCTCTGAACTGTACTCCTCAGTCAAGGCTTTGTTCATTCTTTTATTTATTTTTTTAATATTTTATTTTATGTGAAGTTAGAAAATATTCTACTGGACAGACTGAAGCTGAAGAAAAAGTAACAGGTTTTAAAAATCCTTTATGACTGAGTTTTCAGCATGAGAGAAATGAGATATAAAATTGAGAAAGAAAAGGGACAGTCAGTTTCAAATCTAGATGGAAAATCACAGGTGAATCCAGGAGGACATTTTGATAACTGATGGCTACTTGGAGGAGAAAGAGAGTCTCTTTCAAGGGTGGGACTCTCGGTAGGTTTACCAGGCTCCAGTGGATGGACTACACTGAAGGACATTTGAGGAAACAAAAATTAGACTCTATAGGCCCCATAAGTATATCAATGGATGGGGGCAATAAAGGGAGGAGTGGATAAGGGAGGGAATCTAAATACCATCAAATTATATTACATGAAAATTTCAAAAATTCAATAAAAATGTTTAAAAAAATAAAATCATGGCCACTGCAGTGTATGTGCCTTAAGTCCCAGCTACTTGTGAGGCTAAGGCAAGAGGATCGCTTGAGCCCAGACGGTCAGAGTCATGATGGTCGACAAAGCATGACTCTGTCTCTTTAAATAAGTGATCAAATACTGTAAAGTGTTACTGGCTGAACTCCACTTGTTTTATTTAAGTATGCACCTGGCTAGGGGTGTGATTCAGTGGCAGAACATAAGTAAGGTCCTGGGTTGGATCTCCAGCACAACAAAATATCTGATTCTGTGGGCATGGTGGCACATACCTGTAATCCTAGCACTTGGGAAGCTGAGGAATGCTTCAACTTTAAGGCAAGTCTTGGCTATATAGTGGATTTCCAGTTTGGGCTGTGAGACTAAGTTCCCCTCCACCCCCCAACAAAGTATGCTTCTGTTTGAATGGACTGATGTGATGTTTACCAGGTGATATGTAGCCTACTAGTACTTGAAGATTTAAGGCCTAATATGGCACTGAAACAAACATGCTACTAGTATTTTAAATGATCAAAACAAAGCTGTCAAGCAAAATCTCCATGAAAGAGCATTTTAAGATGCTTTACTCAAGGGCACCTAGAGAAGAAACTCTCTAAAGACTATCTAAATGTCTTAAAGGTTTTTTTTTTAACCACCAAAACCAAAGATTAAATGCTATCAAAAGCATGAAAAGGTTTCCATGATTTGCAAAGAGCATGAAAGTTTTACAAATGCTTTTTGTAGTAACCTCAATAAAGGATGCTAAAGAGAGAAACATTTTAAAAGTTACGTTGCCAGGCATGGTGACGCATGCCTTTAATCCCAGCACTCAGGAGGCAGAGGCAGGCGGATCTCTGTGAGTTCAAGGCCAGCCTGGTCTACATAGTGAGTTCCAGGACAGCTGGGGCCACAGGGAGACCCCTGTCTCAAAAAGACCGAAAAAAAAAAAAAAAGTTATGTTAAGCTGGGTATGGTGGCCCATGCCTTTAATCCCAGCACTTGGGAGGCAGAGGCAGGCGGATCTTTGTGAGTTCAAGGCCAGCCTGGTCTACACAGTGAGTTCCAGGACAGCTGGGGCTACAGGGAGACACTGTCTCAAAAAGACAAAAAAAATAATAATAAAAGTTGTGTTAAAAACTAGCTTTAAACATAGGTATTCAAACTATTTGATAGATTTGGTAACAGAATTGAGAATTGCTTCTGGGGTTTATAGATGGAATGATTTCATCTGTAACTTTTGAAATTCACAGCTAGATTATAGGAGGACAGAATAAAATCATCTTCTCACTTGACCTACATAGGAAGAAGTGCTTACTTTTCAAGAGTGGCCTCTGCTCCAAGCCACCCCTGTTCTTCTGTCTTTGCTGTGCTTCACCTCCCTTCCTGCTAGCTCTCTCTGTGTACGATGTCCCTAAACTGTCTTGCTTCTGATCCTCACATCCTTGGCTTGGACAGCATTTGCTACTATAAGTAACATGCAGAGCTTCTTCTCACATGAACCTCATTTATGTGAATGAGACATATGTAAGGGGTGCTGAAGTCCAGAGAAACAAATTGTCAGAGAAACAAGAGCAGGACTGTGGGAAGGTACTACTGAGTTGCGTTTGTAACAGAGATCCAACAAGTAAGAGCCCAGGCTATGGGTTCCCAAGTTTAAAACACTGAAGTATGAGGATGAGTGTGAGGAAATAAATATGGTAGACAATATATTTGTCTATAAAAAAGAAATCAAGAGAAACAGGAGGACCGGAGAGATGAGCCAGTGCTTAAGGGCACAAAGACCTTTTGCAGAAAACCTGAGTTTGGTCCCAGAATTCACATCGGATGGTTCACAACTGTGTCTGTAACTCCAGCTCCAGAGAATCCTATGCCTCTGGGCTACACAGGTACCTACACTCAAATGTGCACAAACCTACACATACACACACACACACACACACACACACACATACACAAAACTTCCAGGTATGGTGGGGCACACCTTTAATCCCAGCCCTCGGGGAAGGCAGAGGCAGGCAGATCTCTAGGTAAGATTGAGGTCAGCCTGGTCCACTTTGTGACTTCCAAGCAGGCTGGGACTAGGGAGACCCTGTCACAAAATAATAAATAAATAAAATTGTTTTTAAAAAAGTGTAAGAGAGGGAAATGTGAGAAAGTTCAGGCATACAGGACAAGTGTACACCGGAGAACGAGTATGGAAGAAAAAGCAGTGAGCAATGAGCATGTGGGAAAAAGGCCAAGTGTATGAGAACAAGCATGACAGAGTAAGAGGTAAGTGAATGATGGTTAATCCTGATTATAAACCTGACAGGATCTAGAATAATCTAGATAAGCCTCTGGGCATGCCTGTGAGGGTTATCTAGATTAGGTTAACCAAGGAAGACACACCTAAAACCTGGTAGCACTATTACAAGGGCAGGGTACTGAATTGAATAGAAAGGGGAACTAGCTAAACAAACACTCATCTCTGTTTCCTGACAGTGGAGGCCATGTGACCAGCCTCCTCAAGCTCCTGCTTCCAGGACTTCTCCATCCTGACAGACTGTACTCTTGAATGATGAGGCCAGAATAAACCATTCCTCTTGTGAATGCTTTTGTCAGGGTATTTTATCACAGTCAAGGGAAAAGGAACTAATAGTGCGTGTGAGAGAAAATGAGTGTGTGAGAATGAGATCAAGTGTTAAAGGGGTGTAGAGAAAGAATGACCACGAGAGGGCTACCTGTAGTGTAAGTGTAGGGCTAGAGAAAGTGAGTGCTAGAGGGTGCGTGCACATGTGAGAAAGAAACCAACCAAAAGTGTTTGTGAGGATGAGTGAGACAAGTGTGTGAGAGAACACGCCTACATAAGAAGTGAGTGGGCATGTAAGACAGACGTATGAGAAAGATGTGCACATGGAAACCAGGGAGAAACTGCCAGGAGGAATGAGGTCATGGCAGCACTGGAAAAGCAACTAAAATTAGCTGTTCCCTCCTGGCTGGGACAACAGGATCCAGGGCCTCTGGATGACTAAGATCTCTATTTCAGGAAAGTAAGGAGTAAGTGGACTGTGTGTTTCCAGACAGGAAGTCATCTCTGAGCTGTGGCAAAAGCACAGCATGTAATATGGTTCATGATTACAAAAGAAGGCCTGGTTCCACTTGGAACAGCAAAATGTACACACAAATTTCATGGAAACCAAAGAGATGGCTCTCAAGGAGTAAAGCCCCTTGCCATTGAGCCTGATGAGCTGAGGTTCAATTCCTGGAGCCCATGGTAGAAGGAGAGAACAATCTCCAGCAAGTAGTCCTCTGACCTCCACATGTGTATCATGGCAGGCACATAAACACAATAAATAAATGATAAAAAAAAAAGAAAGTCAGAAATACCCTTCTTCTCTAC